CACCACTACACATCTTCCCTCATACCACATGTTTCACTAAACAAACATTTTGATAATTAAAACAATCTGAAAACACATCAACAGTTCACTGCCTACAAGTGACATCAATCTAAGCAAACTCACCAAACATCATGTGCAACAAGAAAAAGTCAATTGTAATAATAAAGTAAGTACAGGAATTCATGTATGTACAATAAATGTAAAGTTGTGTAACTATGAAAGGCACAGAAGATTTTAACAATTGATCATCTGAACCTTTATAACCATCCCACGTGCCTGAAAGTTCCCTGACTTTATGAACATTCTGGCTCCTCTGAGTAAATATAAGGCACTAACAGATGATCACTTATTTATGGGCCAGCTGCTTATTTCTATTGGATTGCAATCCTTTTCTTAATCTGTCATGCATTCTGTCCAACATTTACACCCAATTGTGAAGTGACGCAATTGGAATTACACTTTTCAGAACAACCGGCATTGTTGTGTTGATTTAATTTTGGCTTTTTTTCCCCCCAGAAAAATTAACATATTATACACAAATCTTTATACAAAGTGGTTTGTACTTTTGCAATTGCACAATGTAAACAAGCATAACCACATATGCTCCTCAGATTAGGAAATGTATTATTATTAATCACCTCCTGCAGTTATGCCCTAAAGTCGTGAAACACCCTGTATATCAGATGTAAATCTCTGATGATTGCAAATTTATGTCAAAATGTATCACTCATTGTGTTAAAACTGTAAAGACAATATTCACTATGTGACAGTGAAATTTATTTATGCATCTCTTGCTCCACATAATGTGATGCAATGCTGTACTATTAATTGGTAAAAGGTACAGTTGTCCCTGTGCTTAACTAATTAAGTACTACGCCACAAAGATGTATGGCGGAGCAGATGTATAGATCCACATTTACTTGACCTAGGCACTAGATGGAGTGAGTGGTCAGTTTCATGCCCCAGCCACTTTATCCCTGGGAAAGGGCCCCTGGTACCCATTATATAGGAGGGTGGGTGAGCCCCAATGCCAGTCTGGATGATATGGAGAAGTGAAAATTCTTGACCATACCGGGACTCAAACTCCGACCTCTTGGTAGTGCAGCCCGTAGCCAGTTGCCATACAGACTACGCTATCCCAGGTCCTACTATTAATTGGTAGACTTACAATTATTGTAAAGCATGTCTATATTTTCAAATGTACAATGTGAGTCAGTATTCTTATAAAACCACCAACAGGGAACAGTCATCGAACAAAAACCAGTCAGCCCTGCTACGTTTAGTTCATCATAAGTTTTTAGTAATATCAAGTTGCTTGGAAAATTTACATACCAATCCATGAGCTCTGATCTTCTGTGGCCGTAGGAATACTGTCAGGATCTGCAAGTTGTGGCAACAATACAGCTGAGTATGCCATGCTCACTCCAGCCTGTACAACAATACTGTGTGCCACACAGCTTGCGAGTACCTACACAAACATATGTGGAAGGATAATATTAAAGCAGATCTTGTGGAAATAGCTTTCCAGGATGTGAATTAGATTGATGTGTCATGTGTCTTCTGGGTAATGATATAATTAAGTCTGGAAGTGGTTAATGACGCTTCTGACAAACTTACTGCCTCCATCTTCAGGGTAGAAGAGATCCAAGTTGGGAAAGTAGCAGTATATATAGGAAAGATTGTCAAAAATGGCTCATGAAAGGCAGAAGTGGCCAATCACACCCAGGATGCAGAAGAGGAGATGAGACCCAGATTTGGCTCAGGTTAGGTCCACAAATGCTATTCTGTTGTAGCAGTTATGAATATTTATGCTATCACTATGCCTAACACAAATATCATTAAGAAGTCTAATCAGTTCTCAATTCATCTGGCACTGAGGTTTACAAAATTAATTTCAATTTGCAGTGAACTGATTATGTCTTACTCCCTCAAACAGCACAAAGTCTGTAGTGAGCTCATCTAGATCAGTTCATTAATGATACATCCCTTCACACAAAATCAAGCTGCTTTTACAATCAATTCTACATCTTGCACTGCCATTTCATTACAAACTTGGAACAATTCCACATTCAAACATTGGTAACACCAATTCTTTTCACAAGTAGCTAATGGGACAGGCCACTAAGGAACCACCGGTTGTACCTACTTCACATAATACATGCTGCCACCCACCTCTCCTCCCAGCCTGGCATCAACTCATCTTCACTGTCAGAATGGTCAGAGTCAGGCATTATAGCTACCATTATTAACAAATGTACAATAAAATAACAAGTTCACCTCAGAGAATCATATAACACAGACAACAACCACTTCAATGCCACACCTGCACTCCAATCTAGGTGCTGTAAAGACACAAATTACAAGTAGACTCTAAATGGTTCTGATGGTGTATAACACTCTTGAATAGCTGCAAAACTGGAAGCTTCTCAAGAAGAGCTCAGCTCCATGAAGTTAAATAGTTAGTTTAGTTAGTTACTATTACTATACCATTACGTATATATTGTAATTCAAATGGTGGATGTACTATGTGACATTAAATGCAATTATTTGTTGCTATTAATATTTTTAAGTTAAGATTTGATGTTATCATGGTGATATATTCATACTGTGGTCTTCTAGCTTATGCCAGTATAGTCTGGTACAGGATATTATTTCAGAGGAGTACTCAGACTCAATTTTCTGCTTTGAAGATAGAAGCAGTATGTTCCTCCCAAACGTTGGTACACACCCAACACCCTATATAGAGTGACAACACAATAACTTGACTATTCTCAGGAAGAATCTTACTCGCTGCAGTCAGATTTGAATTTGAATCACACAGGTTGCACTTATGCGGAACCTCTAACACATGATGTTGACTGGCACTGATTCTGACTGTTTCTCATCCACAAAGATGGTGTACCTGTTGAAAAAAAAAAGAGAATGCTCACAAAGAAGGAAGAACTTCATTCTAATTTTTTTAAACACATCCATTAATTCAGATACAGCATCATATCAGGCACAGTACATTAAACAAGCAAAAAGAGTTCCAGTTGTAAATGTGAGATGCCTTTTAGAGTTCTGAAGGACCTGACCTGGTAAGTGTTAATACCAACAACATTACTATACTGAGGGCAGGTAAAGAAGTCACATGGCCCTATACTCTCCTCCAGTCTTCTTTGTGACAAGAACATTAATCTGGTTTATAAAAAACGCTTTGCAGGATAAAGCTTAATTGCCTGTTCATAAAACCTTAAAGTGCAGTTGATCTCTTCCTCTTTCTCCGGGTGTTCAGAAGAGAACATTTAAATGTTTGCTTCAGTATTCCCTTTGTCTTTAGTCTGCACATCTGTAGTAGGCAATCTGTTAGCTACCATTTTATTTTCACAGAAAATATTTCGGGATGAAAGTAATAAAGGTACTCGTAGTAAATACTATGGCATATAGACACGTTGCTAGGCAACAACAGCAAAATAAGCAACTATACTATAGCCGTGACTAAATAATGGCTCTGCAAACAACGGCCGTTGCTAGGCAATATTTGAATAGCAATTACAGCAATTACATGGGCACCTCAATAGGCATGAAAGCAGCAATTGCACAGCAACAGAGGAGAGGTGTTTTCTGTATGGTCCGTGCCGAGATATTATAAGCAGGACAAGTGAGGAGTCAGTCGGTGAGTGAAAATTTATTTGGTGAGTTAGTGAGTTAGAGGACTGCTGCAGTTCAGTCGTTGTGAGCTTTTGTTGTGAGAACCTGGTAGCTGAGGCCGGGGACAGTTTGGGAACCAAGAAGGAGGGGAACGTCCGCCTTTGAAAGCCACTACCAAGCAACGGCTAGTGAAGACTGTAACAGACTGAGAAGACCTATTGCGTCTTATAGCGATTTGTGAAGTGTGCAGAACAGTGAGAGCATAATCCCTGTTTGTAGTAATAAGTCGTAAGAGTTCAATAAATCCAGTCATTAATCGTTATATAGTCATTCCATTACGTGACAGCATAATTTAGGATTACAGGATAGAATTAATTCCGGACCGTATGCAGTCTCGCCCATGAACGGTGCATCATAAAAGTGGTTACCGAAATACTTTAGGCATCCTTGATGAGTATGAAAATGTTTGACGCTTCTAACCTATAAGAAAGACAAAGTGTGGCTTAGAAACTTAGAAAAAGATTTACTAAACAACCTCAGTCGTATAGCGTATTAACGGCAACCATTTTCCATGACCTCCATATAACCGTCTCGACTCATGATCTGCGTGTATTCATCTCCCTTGTGAGGTCAGCATATATCAACAAAATTTATCCAAATTATTACAACATGCCGATTTCAATGACCTTCCAGGAAGAAGGCAATACTCATGTTCAGTTAAGACGCTTACCCGTTTAAGTTAAGAGAGCCTTTAAGCAGACTTTTGAAATTATACACATGACCCTTCTTTAGCGATGAAACAGACACACGAAATTGTAAATTAATATAGTGTTGACTCTTTGAACAAAGGTAAGTACAGTATTAAGAGGCCGTGAAAGCACATAGGGTTGTGAAAAATTGAGGCTCCTACATTTGTTAGAAAATCGGCTCACAGATGGCGGTGAGGTAGTCAGCCTTACGCGGCGGCCGCCCTCTACCTCCAGGAAGATTCATGGTACTCATTTCTGTTAGAGGCTGAGTCGACACCAGGGCCATAGTGCGGCTGAAAGGATTAGGTAAATTGAAAAAAAATCCACCTCATCGGGATTCGATCCTGCGACATTCCGGCTTGTAGCATAGTGCCTCAACAAACTGCGCCACCGCGTGCCCCTTTTGAACAAAGTTGATGATAAATTTCAGATATACCTGTAAAATATGAATGAATGCATAAGGAGTAGGCCTAAACCGGCCTTTGCACAGCGACCTTCAGTAGCTTATCCGGCATAAAGTAACTCTGGTTATTATCCAGAATCTGCCATTACAGAACGACAGCAATCAGCAGTATCATTTTCATCAGGATCTGAAAATACTACATTCTCTGCTAATCCGGACATTAAACACACCTCGAACATCAGAATCAACTGGCTTTCGTGTATTTGGAATATTTAGTTTTCTCTGAAGCCTGTATTTCCTTGATTATTTCGTGTGTTAATGCGCGCTAAGACCGCAGAGTGCTCGTCTAAGTTTTCCAGCTTTGGTGTCCCTATTCTTCAGTACCCAGACCTCATTCTTTTATTTCAGAGACTACTTTTCATTGTAATAACATTCTTAGTGCCGATCACGGTAGCCGAAAGGTCTAAGGCATGTACTGTCTTCGCTCGCTCGGAGACCGGGATCGTGGGTTCGAATCCCAAACAAAGCATGTATGTTTGGTGTGTGAATGGATATATTTTGTGTTTGTGTTGTCGTGTGTTTAGGCAGAGGCCTTGCGACGAGCTGATCGCCCGACCAAGAGTCCTACCGTCTGTAAAGTGATCATGAAACTGAGAAATCAGCTCTGCACTCCAAAGTAGGAGCAAGAGGAGAGAGAGAACAAAAGGAATTCCTAGTTTCGTTGCTGATAACATTTATTTGACAGAATTTTGTTTAATGTTGTTGTTTGTTTTGTTATAGAATCGTAATTTTGTTTCTATATTTACAGTGCAGTGTGAGATAAGATATTCAAAATACTTACATTTTTATATTTCCTGGATAATGTTATTATACAATATGATTTTATTGCTGATTGTTTAGATTTCTGACGCTGCTGCTCTTCATTGCATTATTCACAAAGTAACCAGAGAAGTAACACGCTGAAATCCTTCACATGCTCATGTAGCTACACATAATATATTGTTGTAATTTTAATGTTAAGAACCTACAGATTATAATTTCAAATTTTTTTTCAATAATATTTATAGAGCAAAAATTCAATTAACGGAGCTAAAACCTCAGAGTCTGCTAACAATTTTGCAGTTGATACAAACGTTGACGCCGTCTTTTGGAACATAAACCACATGACAGAGATTTTCCATTTAACTGAGTGGACCAGCATTGCGTCAATTGAATTGATTCGTATCGATTGCCTATATGAGGGCTCGCTGAATGACAAACGATCCAGGATATGAACCTCCGTAGTGTACAACAAGTCATTATACTCTGCCATCACACAGTCACGATTTACGCTCAGTACGACAAACACGAAAAGCAAATGCTGGTAACAGCTTCTGACATGTCGAAGTTAAGCAGGAATTATGGTCCTCACTTAGAGGGATGAAGGTCCAGTGAATAATCAATGCTCTCTGGAACGTGAAATTCTGGAAGCAATTTATGACACGAAGTTTCTCTTTAGTCAAGCTTGCAGAAAAAGAAATTATAATTATACAATTTTATAATCGGCTCTTTGTATAATTTCACTAATTACGAGTAATATTCATTTTATGTTAAATACAAATGTCGTTTCATGGCAATATGTACGTCATACAAACGTTTACGCAAGTTTTATTATTTACCTAAATTAAAATTTACACTCTTGGCATCGATGATTGCTTCATTCTTACCTCCTAAGAAGTTAATATGCCTCAGAAATTCGCGGGACTGCGATGTTGTCTTCTTTTCCTATCAACATGGCTCTTCAGTCTTTTAGACCTTACCTGATTTTCAGTTTCTTAATCCTATACACAGTCGGTAGGATTCGTTGGACGGAGGATCAGCCCGTCGCAAGGCCGCTACCTGCACACAGAACACAAACACATAACAAATGCAGACATACATATAACAGGGATAGTTCAGTCAGTATAGCAACTGGCTACGTGCTGAAGGACGGAGGAGACGGAGTTCGAGTCCCGGTGAGGTAAGAATTTTCAATGTCTTCCAGACCGGCTCTGGGGTCAACCCAACTTCATACACAATGGGTACCGGGGGTTCTTTCTTCGCGGGTAAAGCGGCTGAGGCGTGAAGCTGACCACTCACCTCTAACTAATGTCGAGGTCACGAAAATGTGGATCTATATATCCACTCCCCCTATATGTCTTCATGGTGTAGTGCTTAATTAGTTAAGCAGAGCGACAACTTTACTTTTTACCTTTACATAGACATACGTGCCCCGAGTGGGATTCGAACACACGACCCCAGTGTTCGGGCGGGAGAAGACGGTTCATGCCTTAGACCACGCGACCGCTTTGATCGGCAGCGATGTTGCCTTACATTATTAAAATGCTCTCTTAAGAAAAGATGCACATAGTTCGAGATGTCACTACACGGCATGCCAAGATCCTATAAAGGACACTGAGATCATTACCTTCGTAGAAGTTGCAATGGCCGCTACTCTTGTACTTCTGATTAATTATGGGAAAGTACAAGCAATTCCGATCAGAGCTCGTAAAGCCTATTTTCCTGTTCTATACGTGTAGATGTCTAGGCGTGCAGAAATAATTACATATCTTACGTAGACCTTCTGTCTACGTTAAACCTGTTGAAGTTATCTCACACTTTCACACCATCGCCATGTTCTTTGTGCTATGTGGATATGCATATGGTTTATTCCGCCGGAGTTCGAGTCCCGGTAGGGTCAAGAATTTTCTCCACATCCTCCAGACCAGAATTATGGTTCAGGCAGCCTTCTATCCAATGGGTACTGGGGACTTTTCCCCCCGGGGGTAAAACAGCCCGGGGCGTGAACCTGAACACTCACCTCCAACTAGTGCCGAGGTCAACCAAATATGGATCTAAACATCCACCTCTCCATACGCCTTCATGGCGTAGTGCTTAATTAGTTAAGCACAGGGGCAACTTTACCTTACCTCATCGTAAGTACATACCGTCATCCTTGAAGATGACATTGTAGATGTCGAAATTTGTAGGAACAGTAATATTAATATTAAGCTACAAGAGAAATTTCTGTTGTAACTGAAAAATTTGATAATAAACAGCTATGGATTAAAACGGTGTACAACAAAACCTTAAAAATTATTACACCAAGTTTAATGAAAGTCTGACAAAACGGTTAATATGGAAGCCAAACAAGCACATAGGCTGAGAGAAATGAGAGCCAAAATCGAAGATCCAAATCCCACAGAAATGAAAATATATGAAAGAGGAATGCGCTCTTACGGCGCACAAAACCAAATCAAGTGAACTTCGCAAGGTTTTTCTTGAAAAGTTGACGGTTACACACCTGCACAAGGAATTACTTGTTTTTGTTGAATCCGAAGGTTCATAGCCATTTCTCATATTCCTGTAGGTGCTGCCTTCACACTATGCTTCTCTNTCGAAATTTGTCGGAACAGTAATATTAATGTTAAGCTACAAGAGAAATTTCTGTTGTAACTGAAAAATTTGATAATAAACAGCTATGGATTAAAACGGTGTACAACAAAACCTTAAAAATTATTATACAAAATTTAATGAAAGTCTGACAAAAAACTTAATGGAAGCCAAACAAACACATAGGCTGAAAGAGATGAGAGTCAAAACCGAAGCTCCAAATCCCACAGAAATGAAAATATATGAAAGAGGAATGCGCTTTTACGGTGTACAAAACAAAATTAAGTGAACTTCGCAAGGTTTTTCTTGAAAAGTTGACGGTTACCCACCTGCACAAGAAATTACTTGTGTTTGTTGAATCCGAAGGTTCATAGCCATTTCTCATATTCCTGTAGGTGCTGCCTTCACACTATGCTTCTCTAGCATAGAATTATACTGGACATCGCTGTGTACTGGACAGCATTACCAGGATTGAAACATCGTACCGGAGACTAGAAATCCTAGAGTTTTTTCTTCATTTTCCCCATTCACTTGAGGCAAATTCCGTG